ACTTACCGACAAGCTCCCTCCCTATTCATAGTATATAGATGTATTGAAGGTGCCGATCCGCTCGAAAGAATCCGTCGACACATCTCAATGGCCTGAAAGAGAGTCGATATCTATAGAACAGACTCCAAGCAGCACATATTCGAGAGCAGACTAGGCAGACCTTGACTGTTCCATACTTCATCACCGCATCATCATCATGTTTGATAGGCTCCAAGTCCAGAAGTACCTTTTCGGGAATGGTCAATTGCGAAAGCTTTGCTATCCGCCGGATGGAGTCGTAACCCTGAGCGACAAAACGGTTCATAATCTGAGAACACATGCAGTCATCTTCAAAAGGTTACCATGATGGGCATGATTCCAGGAATGATAGGAACCGTAATTCCCATCTCGCGACAATCGCGTACAAATTGCTCGAAAACCTAAAACATAGAATAAAGCAACTCAAACCCAGTAAGAACCCTGATCTTGATGCATGCGAAATTCAGAACCTACTTCAGCTTCGAAGAACAGCTGAGTAATGATAAATTGTGCGCCAGCATCAACCTTAGATTTGAGATAAAGAAGATCAGCTTTGTAAGATGGAGCTTCAGGGTGGCCAAGAGGATATCCTGGAAGAAAGATAAAATCAACTCTTTGTTTCAAGTATGAAGACTAGCATAGAGGAGACTTTTCCAACCAAGCCAAATGATGAAAGATGAGAAATTGTGCCACGGTAAGAACAGCAGCATATTATTATAGCGATGCAGCAAAACATGATTCAAGGTTATCGAAATAATTCTCTCAAATAAAAAAAAACAGTGGTATCTACTATTCTGACACCATGCAAAACATAATCGAACATAGACATCTGCCAATAAGGGTTAAATCGTTCATCACCAAAATGTTGTGGCATGCCTATTTTTGTGCCTAGAATCCACTTTTTAGTTGCATTACTCGTCTGCGGCAAAAACAACAGCAAAGAACTGTGTTCATCCACCGCACAATTTACTAGGCTGGTGCATAATTCCTGCACCAATATGGGTACAGACCGCACTAACTCGGGGTTTTCTTGTATTTATTCTTGCAAACCTAATTCTACAAGACAGTGCTCAAGTGACTACATCACCTTTAGTACACGCGAAGTTCCAAGTCGAAGACTGCAAAAAACCATGCTCTCAAAAACCTTAACAGAAATC